AATTTTTATTTTTTCTATACTTCTACCTCAACATAACAGTCCTGCTCCTCATTAATATTTTGGTGAGGTCATATGCCTTGAATGTCACAGATATTAATTATACAGTTTTGATAAATAGAATGTAAAAATCTTTACTGCTTTTAAGCACAGAATATTTAAAGCATCTCAAAAATCTATTTTCTTTTACATTCAACTTTCTGTTCACAGAAGCATGTTACTGCAATGGATATTTAACTATAATTTTATTTTGCCTGACATCATGCATTATAATTGTAAATACAGCTGCTGAATTATACAGAATCTATGTGAGTCAGTCAGGGTGTGTGCTTCAAGAACATTTGAGTTATTTTTTATATTGGACCATTAGCACTACTGGGCCTATCAATACTCTTAACAAATAACTATATCACTCAGATTCTTTCCCAGCATTTCAATGACACATTATTTCATTGTTACTGGTTGCTATGATGATTATAATTTTCTTTTTTTTTATTAGTTGCTCATGACAATACAATGATCTTGACATATCATACATTTGAATCAAATGGGGTATAATTTCTCATTTCTTTAGTGTTCTGCAATTTACTTTGTAGAGGTCATTCGCCTCTTTTGTTAGATTGATTCCCAAGTATTCTAAATTTTTAAGGCATTTTCAGAAAAGCAAAAATTGAGAAAATTTGTCACCAGCAAACTGTCACTAAAAAAATGCTAATGGAAGTCTAACTGGACAGAAGAAAATGATCATAGATGAAAGCATGGTAATGTAGAAAATTCAAAGAAGTTGGAAATGTACACATGTTGTAAATATTAATTAATCATTGCTTTAATCAAAAATTTTAAAAAATTATATTTTTTAATCTATAGACTTAAATTTCAGGAAAATGATAATGCAAAAGATATGAATTAAAATCCTCAACAGTACCTTATTATTCAGCTTTATATTTACCTAAAAGAAATTACAGCATGTCTACAGAATTACTTGTACAAAAAAATACATGTTTAGAGCAGCATTATAAGTAATAATCAAAAACTAGAAACTCAAATTTCTATCTAGAGGTGAGCTGATAAACAAATTATAGCACATTCATACAACAGAATACTATTCAGCTGTAAAATGAATGAACCACTGACAGGCTAAAAACTGTGGATGAGTCTCACAAACATTATATTGAGCAAATGAAGCAAAATTCAAAAAAGTACATATTATATAATTCCACTTATATTAAGTTTTGGCAAGTAAAACTTTATTATGATGCTAAAAGTCAGGACAATAGTTATATCTGGGGACATCAGAAATTAAAAAGGGAGAGGGGACCTGTGGAAGGTTGACAATGTTCTTTTTCATTGACAGATGTGTTCACAAGGATGTGTTCACGTTGTGGAAATTCATCAAGCACCCACACTTAAGATTGTACATTTTTCAAATGAGAAATTATATCCCATCTGATTCAAATGTATGCTATGACAAGATCATGGTACTGTCATGTGTAACTAATTAAAACAAATAAATAAAAATATATTAAAAATAAAAAATAATAAAAGCATAGAGTCAGAGAAGAAAAGAAAAAGAAGATTGTACATTTTTCTATGTATATATTTCAAAATAAAGTTGAAAGTTATATTTTAGACATACAAAAACTATACCAAGAATAAAGCCATATCTAGCATCAAGATTTAAAAGATTACCAATACCATTTACATGATTGTAATTATATGATTGATTACATTTTCACCCACCCCACCAGCAATAACCACATTCCTAAATGTGATGTCCATCAAACTCCACATTATTTTATACTTTTACTCCTTATCCAAGCTTCCCTGAAAAATATATAAAACTGTTTTTGCATGTTTTAAAACTATATATAAAAGGCAATCTGGTTTCCACTTTTAAAAGATGATTCCAGGAGGAGCACAAGAAAACTTTCTAGGGTAACAAAAATAGTCTATACTTGATAAGCAGTATTAATTTTGTGGATTGAATTGGACAATTAAGATCTGTCCATTCGGTTATATCTAAACTTTACATCACTTAAGATTTCAAAAAAATAGAACATTCTACCTTCTAAAAGGAAACAGATGGGGGATGGACAAAAGTGGAACTAGGAAAATACTTCAAATACTGCAATAAATGTGGTGAACATCAAACTCATCTGTCTAAAGAGTAAGCAAGGAAAGATATGTTGTAGGCACAATTCTTTGAGAAGCTTCAACTGTGAAGCTGCGCAGTAATTAGAGGAACAGGTAAAACAAAATCTTAAAGACAGAAGCCTGAGTTGACCTAGTAGAAATGAGAAGCTAAGACAGGAATGAGCTAATCAATACAGGAACAAAGTCTTTGAGAGGGACAGGGGATGCACTGTAAAATTCAGGTGGTTTGTTTTTTGCTAGGACACAATGTCTTCTTGCCTTTTAACTGCAAAGAAACAAAAAGAAGAGAACAGATTCAGGTAAGACTGTTCATTAGTGGTGGGAAAACAAGAAAGTTCCCTTCTCATGTCTGCTACTTCTTCAAAGAACAGGAATCATTATTTGAAAGGGGGGGGTGTGGTGAGCATTTGGAAGAAAATTCTGAGAAGGCATCCCACATATCTCCTTGTTGACATGTGATCTTAGCCAAAAGCCTGAGAAACATTTCTCCTAGTCTAATTAGATACTCAAAGAAACATCAGAGGTTTCACTTCAGCCAGGTTAAATGACCAACAGGTATCCAAATTCTCACAATATAATTAATTATGTAAGTTAAAAAGCAAGGATATTGTTATTCATCTCTGTACTGCACAAAGTATAGTACAACCTATATTAGGTACTCAAGAGGGAATGAATAAAGATAATTTTTCATATTTTCATAGCACACTTTATATATTTTGCCACACATGAGAACTGAAGAAAACATTCTTTTCAGAAATAATTCAGCCTAGATGTCAAATGCATTTTCCTTTTTCTCATGTTTAATATTGTGTGTTATTAGGAGAAAATCAATTTGTTTCTTCCACTTTTATCAATTCTTCATTTTATCTAAAGAAATGATACACTAATCTTCTAAAATTAGTTTTAAGCAAAATTCACCAATAGGGCAACTCATAGGGGGAAAAAAGAGATTCTCTATGCCTATATTATCATAATTTGCAACTATCATAATGAAGAAATTAGAAATTCTTGCCAAGAAGAATTAACCTCTTCTCTGTATTCATGACATTCCTGTTGGTGCTAAATCACACACAAAGAGTGAAGAAGGGTTTTAGCTCCTGTACAGGAATCACAGTATGATCTCAGCCAAACCCGAACGTGTCCTCAGGAACAGAAGCACTGGCTGTATTAGGAAACAAGTTAGTACAATGTACTATTTTTCTATCATTTATCAATTATGAAATGAAAAAAAAGGGTTATAAATGTATTACTAGCAGTATAAATTGTCATTTATTTTATTACACTAAAGTCCATTTACCCGGGCTCCATTCATGGAAGAACCAATGTTTTGGGTGGCTGAATAGTCGGATTTCTGCTCTTTTAATTCATACATATATTTATTATGTGTATTAAACATACTCTTCTAATTTTTGTTGCCACAGCCAGACTGTAAATGCATATGTTTTTGTCATTCTTAACTACAGTAATTCATAACTTCAGCTGCCAAGTTTGGTGCCAGTACTCTCACACATACAGTTCCCGCTCCACACTTAAAATAATTCCTCGTTTGCTGTCAGAAGCTCCTGCCACAATATATAAAATGACAGAATCATTTAAAAAAAAAACTAAATCACTAAACGCAACCACAATGTGTTCCTTTTTTTCTTTCTCTCTTTCTTTCCTTTTTTTTTTTAAACAATATCCCCTTTCTTATCATTCTCTTTATTTATGAATTGAAAAATCTGGTCAAGTAGCAAAATGGAACATGTCAAATATAAACAAAACACAGAGTATTTTCAAGAAGGAAAAGAAAGAAAATCTCAGTTACATGCTAGACCATCCTTTGAGGCACTGTCATTTTAAATGCGGAAACATCAATTATTTTTCCTGTTTCCTATATTTAAAGGTTCTATAGGACCACTAATAAAATAAATAATGTTTTATTTCTCTGTATCATTAAACACAACACCAGCAGAATTCTGAGTGTGAATACTAAGATTTAATATTTCAGTTTCAAATAAAACAGAGTTGTTCTGTGATGGAACAGCATGGAAATTACTTCAAGCCGTCAATTGCATAATATTTCTAGGGCTAAAGATTAGCTGCATTTCAAAATCCTTAATCTTGAAATCTGAGGAAACTCTGGACATCTCCTAGACTAATATGACACCCAAAACAGCAATTTTTCTCCAGCATCCTTAACAGATGGTCAGCCACTGTTTCAGAACTCCACTGGGGGAGTTATAATGAAAGTCCAGAACAAACCTTTCATATACAGAGTAAGATTCCAGTCAGTGAGCTTGCAGGAAAACAACATTGCCACACACTGAAAACAGACTTTAACAAGAACGAGATTCAGAATTAGCAATCCTAAAAGTGTAGCCTTTGAGATATGTAACACCCCATTCTGGGACCAGCCAAGGTCCTTTCATTGGCCCAAACAGTAGCTCCCACAATAAGGAAGCAGGGTGGCTTCCTTTTGGACTTATTCCTTAATGCAAGAAATGATTCTACTGCTCACAGAATGGGTTTGCCAAGTCAGAGAGCATCAAATCCCTTCCTTCTGAAAATCAAGCCAAGGGACCCCCTGGTGAAGCTGCTAATGCTTAAAATACTCTTAAACTTTGGTCTTAAATTTCGTCACTACTATAAACTAGAATATTTCGTGCTTTTCTTTTAAAAGTGTATATAGGGTATGCTGTCACTGAAATTGTTTGATTGGTATAGGGTTGATACGTGTGGGGCTGTATTTTAAGCTCAGCCCTTAATACCACGATGAGGTCTGGCTTGCTTCTCCCAGGAAAGCGCACGCGGCTTAGCTGACAGCACATCAACTGTCAGACTCCAGGACCAGGAGGCCCAGCGCTTACCTGTCGATGCTGATCACGCACAGAGTCATAATTGAGGCCGTGCAGCACATGACGTCCATGGCAATGAAGACGTTGCAAAAGAAGTGGCCAAATATCCACTTGCCCCCGATGAGGTCGGTGACACTGACAAAGGGCATCACCGCCACGGCCACCGAGAGGTCGGCCAGTGCAAGGGACACTATCAGGTAGTTGGAGGGCTGGCGGAGCTTCTTGACGAAGCACACGGAGATTACCACCAGGCAGTTGCCCGCGATCGTCAGAAGCGTGATGAGTGCCAGGATGGCACCGATCACAACTTTCTCAGTTCTGCCATAGTTGATCTGTTCCCCGCAGCCCAGGGCAAGATCCGGGGTTGTGTTCCAAGTGGGCGATGGAGTAGGGGTCACATCAGAGATGGTGCCCGACAGGCTCGGCGCCCAGGTACTCGTAACCGGATCGGGTTCACCATCGGGGTTCGCCTCGGGCGCCCCTTCCCCCTCCGGCAGGAGGAGAGAACGGAGGTGCCCGTAAAGGTCCATGAGGGTGCTGCTGTTACTCATGGCTGTGCCGCTGTACTAACTAGGAACTTCGCGCCCTAAATAAGCTGCCTGACTCGGGTTCAACTCACCGGTTCCGCTCCAGCCATGAAGCCCACGGTGGTCTCTGGGGACGCTTGCCTCGGGCTCTCGGCCCGCACGTCCGAAGCCCCCAGCCGCTGCGGGAAACGCGGGGTGCAGCAGCGCGGGGACTCCCTGGGGGAGGCGCCGCGGCACCCGACGGACCCGGGCACGCGAGGGCTCGCGGGCCGGGCTCTGCTGTGTTGCGCCCAGTCCGCCGCAACTCAGCTCTGGCGAAGAGTGCCGAGTGGCTGTGTTGAGGAGGGCGCCCCGCCCCTCGCGCCCGCCGCCGCTCCCCTGCGGCAGCCGCGCCGTCCCCCCCCCCCCTCGCCGCCGCTGCCGACGTCTCCACCTCCTCCTGCGCCCCTCGCATTCCCGGACGGCCCCCGCCCCCCTCCCGGGCTGGACTGCCGAGGCTCCCGCGCCTCCCCACTGTGCAGGCGGACGGTGGGGAGGTCCTGCACGCGCCTCCCGGGAGCCGGAGCGCGTTAGCTCCGGGATCTCGCCTTCCGACTGCGGATCTTACCCGCTCCAAAAGACCCCAACCTCTTCACAGTGGCAAAGGACAATTTTGGTGGGGGATTGATTGACTGATTGATTGATTGATTTAGCACTCAGGAGGGTATCAGTAGACGTTCAGACTCATTGTGAAGTAAAGAACCTTGTTGGGAAATATTTTTCCCCCTTAGTTAAAAAATCTTTTCCATCACTATACCAAGCAACGAAAAGATACTTCTGTTTCCCATTTTGACCACTTATGGGAGAAAACGAAGATGGAAAAAGAGAAGCAGCCAAATGGGGTGGAAGTAGAAGCTCAGAAGACGAAGAAAGAGAAATAAATGAATAAATGAATGAATAAAATAAAGGAGAGGGAGGGATGCTTTGAGGCCCTTGCATCAGAAGGAGTTGAGGGTTCTGAACATGAGCCTCCGCGGGGGTTATACTCTCTCTGACTAACCTTCCAGGCATCTAGAGACAGGGCTCAGCCCTGAAAATAGAGCCCGCCGGTTGATGAGTGCCTGTTGCCTAGTTATTCAGACTTCAAAGCCTAATAATTTGAAATAAGGGTTAATTTTCCTATGACAATCTAGAAATCATGTACACAAGCGAAGAAATGACCAGTTATAATGTTCTGCAGAAGAATCTTGGAGATGTAAGTTGTTTTAATACCTATTGCCTAAAATCCACTTTGGTATTCAAACCCTGTCAGTGTCTGATTTTTATTATTTGTGAGACTTGCTTCGTTCCATTTTGTTTAAAGATTTTATTGGAAGATAGCAGTGATTTCTTTAATTTAAGACTCCAAAAATAAATCTGTCTTTTATTTTCTAGTTAGGCTCTAGTGGATTATATATAAGAAGAAAAGGAACAAACACCTCAAAATGTATTGATTTGAGTACCGAATAATACTCTCATTTGTCAAGGTGGGTAGTAGCCCTATTTTTGCAGATAAAGAAACAGTTGCAATAGCAATCAACTGGAAATAACAATTATGTTTCACACCAGGCTTATGTCATTATTATGTCTATATTCTTCCCTGTATACGTTGAAAAAAAATAAGAATCCAATATTCACAGCTCCTTTACTACTATCATTAATTAAAAGGCTCTCCCCCCCCCCTGGAATAAGCAAAATGGTCCATTGAGTCCGAGGAAAAGTGGAAGTTAATGTCCAGGCCACAAAGCAATATGATTTAATATTTAAGGAAATACTTTTAAAAGCTCTCTTTAGTTTTCCTTTATGTGAAAAGCATGGAAAAGTATACATGAGATTTTAGGATTTTTATAAGGACCCAGTTGTTTGTTAGTGAAGGCTAGAGGAAACCAGAAAGAATTCCAAATTGTTCCATCAGGATTTCAGAATAATACAATGAAAAATGAAATCTAAAGATATTCAGAAAGTATTCAACCTTACTTGTGTATTTAATCTCAAGCAGGAGAAAAATAATCTGTATATGGAGGACATCATTATTCACCATTCTATACAGAAGAGGAAATAGAGGCAGGGAGAAGTTAAAATTTGTCCAAGACTAAATGTGACTACATTGAAATGTCTCAATGTTTGCTTCTGAGATTTAGAGTTATCTTCAGGCCTCTTAAAGTGATACATTGCCCAAGGTTCTTTTGACTTTTCTCATTCTAACTTTTTAAACTCATTTTAACTCATTTTGACTTTTCTCATTTTTTTTCTCTTGAGTACCCTAATCAGTTCAGCATATACATTCTATCTTGGCTCTTTGAAATAATGTTCCTCATTAATTAATTATACAATGATTTTAAAAATTAATAGTTTTATTTTTACTCCAATCTATAGTCAATATAACTTTCTATCTATACTCTTATCAATGCTTACCCACTTCAATTTCTTAGCAGCTCTCAGTTCTTGCTTTTGTTTTGATTTAGTCCATTCAGGCTGCTGTAACATAAGACCATAACAACCTTTAAACTGTGTGACATATAAACACACCAAATCATCAAGAAATACTATTTTCAAAATTACTTTCTCTTCCATTGTCAATATAGCACTGGATCCAAACTCCCCTTTTACAGAATAACTCACCTCTATTTCATTATCCCTAGAATAGCTAAGTGTATTTCATAAGAGTTGCTAGGTTTTTAATTTATAAGCTGTCACAATGCATAAACATAGTTATTGAAAATCTTGGCTTCTACAGCATTACCTTGCTTATGTTGACTTTAGATTTCATCTATCATTATATTATTCTGAAATCCTGAAAGAACAATTTGGAATTCTTTGTTTCCTTCTAGCCTTCACTAACAAACAATTGGGTCCTTATAAAAATCATAAAATCTCATGTATACCTTTCTATGCTTTTCACACAAAGGAAAACTAAAGATAGAGCTTCACAAGATATTCATAAAGTATCAAAACATTCATCTAAATTTGCTGATCCCTTTGCCCTTGTTTCCTGGTGTTTTAAAATCCTTATCAGGGTGTTGCTCCCTCCACTCCTTCCCCTGCCTCCCTGCTCTTCCACCATTATGCTAGAGGTAATAAATGAAGTGTGTTGACATCTAAATCAAATCATGACTTTAGTTTTTATACATTTTCTTTCTTTCATTAAAAAACTACTGATTTAAAAAGTATCTAACCTCATCTAGATTCTTGTTGCCTATAATGGCATTCTAATAAAATTGTCAGTGAGGGCACCTGAGAATATAGCTTTCTAATGTTTCCAACTAGCAATCTTCTGCTCTCAAAACTGCTCTGGGGGAGTGCAAAAGAGAAGCACAGTCCTACAACATGAATTATCATCTTTTCATAAGCCCTTCTTCCCTCTAGGTATTCATATAGCTCATCTAAATGCATATGTTTAATCATATCTATGCAAACCCACACATGCCCATGCATGGGATGTAAGCTTAGGATAGTAGATTTACCCATAAACCAGCATGCTCTGACAATCTAGATTTGCTTAAGGAGCTTAAGTAAAATAAAGGTTCCTATACCACAGGGTTCATTGGCAACTCTCTAGTCAGTCAGGCATGTGGATGTCCTTCCTATTTGCTGGGGTTCAAATAACTTCACATACCCAGTGCAGCTGACTTTCTACAGGGCTATTCTTTCACTTCTCCAAATGTTTTCAGTCCCTCATTTATATACTCCATTCTCTTACTCCACTAATCATCTGGGTGTCCTCTGACTGCTGCTCATCAGGATGACAAAAGACTAGAAAAATGCTGCAAGGCAGGGTAGACTATACTTATAATTCCACCTACTTAGTAGGCTGAGGCAGGAGGATTGCAAGTTTGAAGCCGACTTAGGGAGACCCTGCTCAAAATAGAAAGCCAAAGAGCTTGGGATGTAGCTTACTGGTAGAGCACTTGCCCAGCATATGTGAGGCCCTAGGCTAGATGCTCAGTAACACATGCGCGCGCGCGCGCGCGCGCGCACACACACACACACACACACACACACACACACACACACACAAATTCTTAGATAGATATTGTACAGATTGAATATTTTTTATCCAAATACTTGGGACCAAAAGTGTTTACTATTTCAATTTCAGATTTTTCCAGATTCTGGAATATTTCCATATACATAATGAGAAACTATATTATCTGTTCTTTAAGTCATTTAATAAAAATGTACCAGATACATATTAATAGGCACTGTACTACATGATAAGGGTGGATAGTGCCTCTTTCATTCATGTTTTAAAATAATGCCTCAACCTACATTATGAGTTTTGTTTTAATTTAGAAAACACATGTAATCTGCTGCTTTCATTTGTATTGTCCCTTAAACTGACTAAAATTAAAATGTACTTTTTTCTTTATTTCCTTCCACTTAGAAAATTTTCATTCATAAGTATAACCTTTCAAAATTTTCCTCCAAACAAAATAAATAGAAAATCAGAGAAAAGATACCTCCAAGAGCAAATTTGATTTATTTATTACTGAATTTTTTCCTTACTAGGACTGTTTTTGAAACATAAATGATACCTGTGCACCCTCTAGTGGAGAATCTACTTAGCAACGCAAATTCCACAAAGATAACTTCCACATAAAGCTTTTGTCAAGAAACAAATTGGGCACTGTTGGAATCCACAGTCCAAACCTGAGATATTTAGGGAAAAAGAAGATTTTTATTTAAGTTTTCAGACTTAAATAAAAGTGGATAAAAGTAGCAGTCACTCATTAATTAAGTCACCATTCATTACTGAATGTCAAATGCAAATCAGGCAGTTTCTGGAGTTCTTTTCTTAAAGGATACATTAAATTCAAGATCTTCTCACATACAAGTGGAAATGTTAGCAAGACAGATACAAGGGAAGTTATCTTAAGGGAAAGAGTAGACAGAGAAGATGTTATGGTTTAGATATGAGCTGTCCTTGAAAAGCTCATGAGTGAGACAATGCAAGAAAATTTAGAGGTGAAATGATTGGGTTATGAAAGCTTTAATCTAATCAGTTCATTGTCCCATCTGAATGGATTATCTAGATGGTGATATAGGCAAGTATGATATGGCTGAAGAAGGTAGGCCACAGACAGTATGTCTTTGGGGTTTATATTTTTGTCCCTGGTGAGCAAAGCTGTCTTTCTGCTTTCTGATTGCCATGTCCTGAGCTGCTTTCCTCCTCAATAATATTCCACCATGATGTTCTGCCTCACCTCGGGCTCAGAGGAATAGAGTTAGGCATCAGTGGACTGAGACCTCTGAAACTGTGAGTCCCAAATAAACTTATAAACTTTTCCTCCTTTTGGTCACAGC